TTTAACACAAGACGTACACTTTACATTTTAAACTAATTTTAATTTTAGTGAGAGTACGTTGTATATTATCTTTAAATCTGTAGATATTCATAATTAATTCTTAAACCAAAGACTGATAAATGTAAAATGTATAAAATTTTTGGACGAAAAAAAATTGTTAAGTAATGCATTTTTTATTTTTAATGAATTGAAATGAAATGATAAGGTTACGATTCTAACTTTCATCAAATATTACAATATCAAAACCATATCAAAAACTTATTTTGATTTTCATTGCTTATAACAAGAATTTTGTTTAAAAAGTCTTAAAACAATAATAGTTTGCTAGATAAAAATTGCTGTACAGGAAAAGTTGAATCTTTATACTACAAATAAATCAGCTAAATATTGACAAAAACCTAATAGTTTTAAGTAATAGTATGAATTAACTTAGCTCAAATCTTCTCTTCGGGATTAGCTGAACTTGAAGCTCCAGGATCAGCTGAACCTAAAGCTTCAGGATCAGCTGAACTTGAAGCTTCCCGTCGGTCCGAGCTAGTACAGGTAGCAGCTAGAATAAAATAAATTATACTTTACAGATTTAAACTACATGTATTCATTTATACAGCGCAATATCATATCTTATGTAAATAATACAAATCAAAATATATATTAAACTTTTTAATAAATCAGTGTAAAATATATAAAAAACGACCATGTGTTGTACAGTCATTTTACACGATTAATTACCATTTGAATACCTTAAAAATATTCTCATTTGTTTAATACATAAAAAACAATTTGGTTGTGTCAAAATAAAAAAATAACAAAAAACAAATTAACATAAATTAAATAGTGTTAGGTTGCTTTAGATTGTTTATAAATTATAATTGCAAAAAAAAACACTTTTATGTAGGTACTATTCATACAGAGTGATCATCATTGATTGACCGGGTTTTCCACTGTCCACTTTGATTTGCCATATCTTTGCGAACATTATTGTTTATATATATATATACATATACTTATACTTTAAGTTAAAATAATTCCTATAGACATATGAACTCCCCTCTATGTATTTTTTTTACAATACATAGGCTATTGCTGATAAATAATTGTTGGGAAACCTTGTTATTGTAATGTAACACGGTCACAGCATATGTTCCTTGTAAGTAAAAAACAAGAAACTATACGTAGGTGAACAAACGTTTTTTTTTTAAGTATTGTTGGTTTATACAGAAAATTTGTATTCGCTATAATATCTGTAACAACGTGGTATATCATGCAGACAAATTCAAACGTCCAAAAATAATAAAACAAGATATGGCCTAGAAAAACTGTTTTATTATTTCTGAAAATTTCCACTTATTGATTGTAAAATGTATACAGAGTTATTTTTTAATCATGGACCACTCAATATCCCATTGGGTTTAATGAGAAATTTAATTTTTATTTCCATGTAGTTTTTATACAATTTGTTTTTACCTCTCTCCCAACTTAGTTTTTTTTTATAGCAATTTTTGAAACTTGAATGGTAACACAAACATTTTGTGAACTTTTTAAATTTAGAATAATGTACTGGTCGGTCATTTTGTTTGAGTCATGAGTCTTAATATAAGATCAAAATACAATTTCCTTGGTAAACGATGCCTATATGTATAATTTATATACATATTTATTGACATTTAGTAGAGTACCTAATTAGGTGCCTATGTACATTGTACAACAAAAACATTTCAACATTATTGATTGAAAAATAATTTTTTTTTTTTTTATTTATTATATTTTAAATTGTTTCAACATAATCTTGTTTTTACAATATATTAATTAATAAGTTACATAATTAGGTAGGCATAATAGAGTAATAAAATAATTTATAATTATTTTAATTTAGCAAATTGTACATAAATTATGAGTTGTTTTAACTAGGTCATTAATCTGATGATACCGATGATGAAGATGACGATGATGATTCTGGAGGTAGTAAGATATCTTGTGGGAGACGTGGCTTTAGTCGGCGGTTGTTTGTTCTTTTCCCAATTTTGAAGTGAAGGGCTCCTTCTATTGTGTTTAGTTTCGAATGAAATTTTTTAAATTGTTCATTTAACCATGTGGTTAGGTATGGTATTCCAGTGTCGTTGTGGAGTTGTGTGTTTCGCATATACCATGGGGCTTTAAGAGCTATTCTGAGAAATTTGTTTTGTATCGTTTGTAATTTTGTAATTTTTGTTTGGGATGCGGCTGCCCCATATTGGGCATGCATATGTTATTAAAGGTCTTATTATTGAAGTGTATATTAGAAGTGAGCATTTGATCTGAAGTGTAGAGCTGTAATTAATTAGGGGGTATAAGATTTTCAATCGTGTGTAGGCTTGGTTTAATTTTTTATTTATGTGCATTTTCCATGTTAATTTTTCATCAAGGTAAACTCCAAGATATTTAATTGATTGATCTTTATTATTCCATAATATAGGCTGATTTTTGATTTTTAATTGAGGTGGATTTGTATATCTCTTTAAGGTAAATATTTTCGCTTCGCTCTTAGTTGGGGTTAAGAGCGAGTTTCCATTTTGTAAACCAGTCTGAAATTAGGTCTAAAGAAATTTGTAGATCTGATATTGAGTTTTCAAGATTTTTATGTTGTGTTATGATAACAGTATCGTCTGCGTACATGGCTAATTGGCATTTTTGTGGAACTGGGATATCATAGCAATAAATATTAAATAAGGTGGGGCCAAGGACTGACCCCTGTGGGACCCCTGCTTTTATCGGGTGTTCTTCAGAGGTATCAGTATCTATTCTTACTTTAAACGTACGGTTTGTGATAAATGATGATATTTTATTATATAGATAGGTTGGCAGTTTTAGTTTTGTTAATTTGGACATGAGGCCTTGGTGCCAGACCTTGTCGAAGGCCTGTGCAACGTCAAGAAAGGCAGTGGTTGTGTATTTTTTATTTTCAAATCCATCTACTATTATTTCTGAGATTCGCTGTAGTTGATGACAAGTGGAGTGGTGAGGTTTGAAGCCGAATTGGTGTAGTGGAATAATTTTTAGGTATGGTTTCAATCTGTGTAGCAGTATCCTTTCTAATAGTTTGGAGAGGGTAGGTAATAAACTAATAGGTCTATAGCTTTCTGGTGAACTGTTTGGTTTTCCAGGCTTGTGAATTGGAATGATAATTGCTTGTTTCCAGGTGTTTGGGAAATATCCTATTCTTAAAATGAAGTTTAAAATACTGGCTAAGAACGCAAGGGCTTTTGGAGTAAGGTTTTTAAGAATTTTATTAGTAATAAGGTCGTGTCCTGGACTTTTTTTTTTTGCAAGTCTGTCTATTATCTGTTGTATTTCCTTGGGACTGCATGGATGGATAGTATTGGTTTCTGCAGAATATGTATTTATAGAGTCTATTCGCTGTGTTATATTTGTGGAGGTAGCCTCAGTTGTGAAACAATTTTCAAAGTGCTGGGCGAAAATTTTACATTTATCAGTGTTTGTTTCATATTTTGCCAGTCCAGCTTTAAGGGGAGGAACAGTGTCTCTTTGTTTGAGTATTCTTTTTGTGGCGGTCCATAGGCTGGCATCGTTTGGATTCAGTTCAGATAGATAATTTTTGTAAGATTTAAATCTATTGTTATCGAGTTCCCATTTGACTCTACGTGTTAATTGGTTTAATCGTTTTTTTAATTTCTATTGTTCTTGTTCTTTGCCATAATCTTCTGGCTTTATGTTTTTCTTTTATTAGGTGTTGAATGTGGAGCGGTAGAGAGAAAAATAATTAAAACGCGTAAACAGTACTTATTGTGTACTTAACACAGATAAAATATAATTTCGAAAAAAAAAATTGGGTATCTATACAAACATAGCGTTTAGACATAGACCTGTAATGTAATATTATAATTTAACCATTATTTTTTATTTACTTGGTATATAACTTTAAGAACTTTTTGTAAAAAAAAAAAACCAAATGCTATACACATAAAATTGATAATTGGTTCACACTTATCTGACTATAATTAAATTATCACAATATGTAACAATCATTCAGTACTCAACAGAAAGCAGCAGGTAACGTTCATCTAGATAACAGCTAAATTTCTTCAAGTGCACGTTGTACTTAATAATGGTAAACCTATTGAAAAATTACACACTTTTGCCACATTTTAAATTGCTAAAAAAATTAAAGTCATTTTTCTTACAGATAAAAATAATGCTACACAAAATGTGAGTGATAGGTGTTTATTTGAAAAGAAAAAGTGATTTCAATTGAGTTATAAAAGTCATTTAGAGGTATTGTATATTGAAACATTTTTTTTTTAATAACATTTTAAGAGATTTTTAAATATTTTTAAAAGAAATTATATTATTATTATTTGACATACAACAATTATATTAAAAATTATACTATAACATGAAATATTATTAACATATTGAGATCAGGCTAATCCTGTATTCTTAGTCTTGATTTTTGAACTGTTATATATAATGTTTTATACATATATATATTTACATAGACTTTAAGTTAAAATAATTCCTATGGACATGTGAACTCACCCTTAAGTATTTTTTTAATACAATACATAGGCTATTGCTGTTAAATAATTGTCTGAAAACTTTGTTATTATAATGTAACACGGTCACAGCAGAGGTTCCTTTAAGTAGAACAAACAAAATTATAAAAATCAAGTAAGTACGGTAATTGCGATGAAAAAATATTGAAAAATTACACACTTTTGCCACATTTTAAATTGCTAAAAAAATTAAAGTCATTTTTCTTACAGATAAAAATAATGCTACACAAAATGTGAGTGATACGTTTTTATTTTAAAAGAAATAATGATTTCAAGTGAGTCATAAAAGTCGTTAAGAGGTATTGTATTTTAAAACATTTTTTTTTTAATAACATTTTAAGAGATTTTTAAATATTTTTAAAAGAAATTATATTATTATTATTTGACATACGATAATTATATTAAAAATGATACTATAACATGAAATAAAATTAACATATTATGGTCAGGCTAATCCTGTTTTCTTATTCTTTTTATTTTTTCCAAGGTGCTTGGTCTGCTAGTAACGATTCTAACGCTACGTTATTCCGCTGTTCAACGAATTCTTCTAGGGGTATGCCTTTATTGATGCTATGGTTCTTAAAAAGTAGGTTAAATTCGTCTAAACCTATCCAATCTAAAACAAAACAATTATTTAGAATAAAAAATAATATATAATATTATAGTTATGGGGGCATGATGTTAACAGTTAACGTTTACCTGCTCTTCCAACTTGCAGACTCCCAAAGTTCTTTGAGTACGCATCGATTAAAACATAATCTTCTTCCTTGCCACCCATGTACTTGTAAAAATGGTATCTTGTTACATGATCAACTAAGTGATCTCTATATCTGCTCGCCATCTGTCTACATAACATGAACCCGTATTCTATGGCCTGTAAATTGTTTGTTTTTATATAGACTACAATATTTATTACTTTTGGCTAAGCAGATACCAAAATGAATTACTACATCAATGTGAGTGAAGTAAGAAAATATTAAAAGTCTTTTGGGCTAAAAAAGTTTCAAGAGAAACATTCATTATAATGAATGAATTTAACTCAAACGGTTATGTACGTTTCTAATTTTATTCTTATATAACACAATACCAAAACAACATTTTCAACAAACTGTATATTAATTATTTGGATTATAAATATTTAAGACAAGAATTTTAGTTTTAAGCTAAAATAATTATGGTTTTTTAGATAATATTTAGGAAATCTTAAACCTTTATATTACATAAATAATTCAGTATATGATATTAACAAAAAACTAATAGTATTAAAATAATAATAATATGAATTACCGCATCATTAGGATCAGCTAAACTTGATCCTTCAGTAGCAGCTGAACCTGGAGTTTCAGGATCAGCTGAACTTGATTGTTCAGTAACAAATGAACCTTGAGATTCAGGATAAGCTAAACTTGATTGTTCAGTAAAAGATGAACCTTGAGATTCAGTTGCAGCTGAAATTGATCCTTCAGGTAGATTCGGATGCATACAGCTAGCCACTAGTGTAAAATATAATAGCGAAAATGAAATCTTGAAAATCATTGCTGTGTTATACGATAAACTTTAAACGGGAATATAAATGCAAGACAAAACAAATGATGTTTACCGTCTAGAATGAACAGAACTCATTATTAACCAGAGGCCCAAATTTGGATTTCCATTTGTTAATGTATTAGGTTTTTATTTTTTACTCTGAATTTTCGTTACACGCATTTACCTAAACCTAAATTTGATTAATGTTAAGTACCGGGTGACTACGGTGAACTATGTCTGAAGTCCTAAATCTTAAACTTTATTAACTTTGAAGACACTTCTTGCGAAACTGATAAATTATGGGGCTATTTTTTTTTTATGTATCAAATTTGTCACAACTAATAACTATATGAGTATAAAAAAAAAATGTAATTAAAAAAAGTTCAATACCTCCAAAGTTATTCACTGAGTCATAGTTATTAACTAAGCACCCGGTATATTGTATTAAACGATAAATAACACTCTGTTAGTAATATTTGTTAATGTGCTGTAGAGAACATAGTATTGTATGCTTGTTCAAACAGTAGACTGTTAGTCGTACATTAATGTACAAAATAAATCCAAAAATAAAAACTACATCTTTAAAATCAGTTAGATTATCTGAAGTCTCCAATGTTAAAAACGATTTTGATTATTTTTTTTTATTTTAAGACTATTTTAGCTTGGATGCAGAGCGTCGAAGGTATTGGTTTTACTCTGATGTGAGTCTTTTTTTTATCTGTATACACTGTAACTTTTTTAATACTGGACCAATTCCTTCGAATAGCAACGCTATAAATCACAAATTTCTTCTAGTTGGTACTTTGTGGTGGATAAAAGTTGAAAAAGTTTTCTTCTTCACAGTCAAAATTTGAAAAAACAGTACGAGTTTTTAAGTTAGAACTTTAACTGGCTATAATTTCAAGAAAAAGAGTCGGATCGAGTTTAAATTTATTAGAAGTATTATTTTGGTATGCCCGCACATATCAGTTGTATCAAATTTAAATTATACCCATTTTACACCCTCCTAAGGGGGGTACAAGTATTTTTGTGTTTTGGGGTTTTTAGCCGTAACTTTAAGACCTTTTAGATGAAAATTGTCCAGTGGTTAGAACTCATATGTATCTATAACATATTAAACAGAAAAAAAAATTAAAGCGTTTATTTAAAAGTGATTTTATCCGAAAGAACTTGTACAGTGAGTATAGGCATAATGGAATCAAAGCAACGAGGGAATGGAGAGGTCACAGGTCAACAGGAATTATTATAAATAAAAATTATTAAAATTGAATAAAATCACTTTCAAATAAACGCTTTGATGCTTGTTTGTAAATACAGCACCTCAATTTAATACTTATTTTATTTATTTACATTATTTTATTGATTGCTATAAAATAACACAAATATATTTTCGCTTTTGAAAAAAAAAAATTATTATGAGCTTTAATGTTATAGTGACCAATTAAATAAATGATATAAAAATTAATTTAGGCACTGTTTTCTATTTAACACGAGACGGACACTTTACATTTAAAACTAATTTTAATTTTAGTGAGAATACGTTATATATTATCTTTAAATATGCAAATATATATAATTAGTTCTTAAACCAAAGACTGATAGAACTTAATATTGAATTTTTTACAAAGTGGTAAAATGTATAAAATTTTTGGGCTAAAAAAAATTGTTAAGTAAAGCATTTTTTATTTTTAATGAATATAATTTAAATGATAAGGTTACGATTCTAACTTTTATCGAATATTACAGTTTCAAAAACTTATTTTAATTTTCATTATTTATAACAAGAAATTTCTTTAAAAAGACTTAAAACAATAACAGTTTGATAGATAAAAATTGCTGTACAGGAAAAGTTGAATCTTTATATTACAAATAAATCAGCTAAATATTGACAAAAACCTAATAGTATTAAGTAATAGTATGAATTTACTTAGCTCAAGTCTTCTCTTCGGGATGCGTTGAACTTGAAGCTCCAGGATCAGCTCAACCTAAAGCTTCAGGATGAGCTGAGCTTGAAACTCCAGGATCAGCTGAACTTGAAGCTTTCCGTCGGTCCGGACTAGTACAGGTAGCAAACTATATACTTGTTCATAATATACTGGTTTATATGTTTTTTTATTTAACAGTCTGTTTCAGATAACATATCTGTTGACTATTTTATAACATATTTTAATCAGATTAATTTTAACTGTTTTTTTTTCTAACCAACAACTAAATTCTATTCAATTACCATTCTCCGGTGATGCAAAGCATACGCTGCCACACTAAGTGGACGAATAATCTGGATATTTATCACATTTAACATCATATTCAGGTATAATTTTGAACTGTTATAATGTGCTGTTTAACCAACTCGACTACAACATCATACTGTGTGTTACTGCAGTGTTTTTAAGAAAAAATTAAATTATTATTCTAAAATTGATTGACATAAGTCGTTTCAACTTTGTTTGAAGATTTGCATACACAGATGTGTTAATATGTTTTCATTTATACAGCGCAATATCATATTATGTAAATAATACAAATCAAAATATGTATTAAACTTTTCATAAAATCAGTGTAAAGTATACAAAAAACGACCATGTGTTGTATAGTCATTTTACACGATTAATTACCATTTGAGTACCTTAAAAATATTCTTATTTGCTCAGGTTTTAATATATAATAAAAAAAAACAATGTGGTTGTATCAAAATTAAAATATAACAATTTAACAAATAGTAAATAGTGTTAGGGTTGCTTTAGATTGTTTATAAATTATAATAGCAATAAAAACACTGTATAGGTACTATTCATACAGAGTGATCATCATTGATGGACCGGGTTTTCCACTGTCCACTTTGATTTGCCATATCTTTGTGAACATTATATAAATTATTAGCTATGGTTTTATATGTATATTGTTTATATATATATATATATTTACATATACTTTAAGTTAAAATAATTCCTATAGACATGTGAACTCCCCCCTATGTATTTTTGTTACAATACATAGGCTATTGCTGGTAAATAATTGTTAGGAAACCTTGATATTGTAATGTAACACGGTCACAGCAGATGTTCCTTTAAGTAGAACAAACAAAATTATAAAAATCAAGTAAGTACGGTAATTGTAATGAAAAAATATTGAAAAATTACACACTTTTGCCACATTTTTAATTGCTAATAAAATTAAAGTCATTTTTCTTACAGATAAAAATAATGCTACACAAAGTGTGAGTGATAGGTGTTTATTTGAAAAGAAAAAGTGATTTCAAGTGAGTCATAAAAGTCGTTAAGAGGTATTGTGTTTTAAAACATTTTTTTTTTAATAACATTTTAAGAGATTTTTAAAAAAAAATATATTATTATTATTTGGCATACGATAATTATATTAAAAATGATACTATAACATGAAATATTATTAACATATTGAGGTCGGGCTAATCCTGTTTTCTTAGTCTTTGTTTTTTCGTATTGTTTCCCAATATGCTTTGTCTGCTTGTAACAATCCTAACGCTACGTTATTCCTGTGTTTAACGAATTCTTCTAGGGGTATGCCTCTTTGGATGCTATGGTTCCTAAAAAGTTGGTTAAATTCGTCTAAACCTATCCAATCTAAAACAAAACAATATTATTTTGAATTTAAATAAAACGTATATATAATATTATAGTTATAGGGGCATGATATATAGTTAATGTTTACCTGCTCCTTCATCTTCCACTCTACTACAGTTCTCAAAGTACGTATCGAATATAGTATAATCTATGTCCTCGCCACCCATGTACTTGCAAAATTGGTATCTTGTTACACGATCAACTAAGTGATCTCTGTATCTGGTGCTCGCCATCTGTCTACATAACGTGAACCCGTATTCTATGGCCTGAAAATTGTTTGTTTTTATATACGCTACATTATTTATTACTTTTGGCTTAGCAGATACCCAAAATTAATTACTAAATCAATGTGAGTAAAGTAGTACAATTTTTAAAATAATTTGGGCTAAAAAAGTTTCAAGTGAAACATTTATTATATTGAATGAATTTAACTCAAACGGTTATGTACGTTTCTAATTTTATTCTTATATGACACAATACCGAAATAACATTTTCAACAAACCGTATATTAATTATTTTGATTATAAATATTTAGGACAAGAGTTTTAGTTTTAAGCTAAAATAATTATGGTTTTTTAGATAAGAATGGCTATTTAGGAAATCATAAACCTTTATATTACATAAATAATTCAGTATATGATATTAACAAAAAACTAATAGTATTAAAATAATAATAATATGACTTACCGCATCATTAGGATCAGCTGTACTTGATCCTACAGTAGCAGCTGAACTTGATCCTTTATCAGGTAGATTTGGATGCATACAGCTAGCCGCTAGTATAAAATACAATAGCGAAAAAGAAATCTTTAAAACCATTGCTGTGTTATACAATAAACTATAAACGGGAATAAAATTGCAAGACAAAACGAATGAGGTTAACCGTCTTAAATGAACAGAATTCTTTATCCAGAGGCTCAAATTTGGGTTTCCATTTGTTAACAATACTCTGCTAGTAATACTTGTTATTGTGCTGTAGAAAACATAATGTTGTATGCTTGTTTAAACAGTTGGCTGTTAGTCATACAACAATGTACAAAATAAAACATACATCCAAAAACAAAAACAACATCTTAAAAGTCGACCTAGTTAAATTATTTGAGGTCTCCAAAGTAAAAAAACGATTTTGATTATTATTTCATTTTAGGACTATTTTTTTTTTTACTTCAGCAATTATGATTCTAGAACAATTGTCAGTATACCGGATTTAGTTGTATAATTGTATAAATATTAATTATATTTTAACACTTTTACAATTCATTCCATCTCTTAAGGAATATATATAAACATTATATTATAGTCTAAGCCCTAAGGTTAAGTACATAAAGTACTGGTATACCTACATGTTTTAATTATTTTTCAAACGATAAAGTTAAAATATTATTCAGCCACATAAAATGTGCAAATTTCAGTCATCTAGGTTGGTTGAATGCTACAATTTAATCAGTACATCTAGACAACTGAACAAACAAGATATATGTATGTGAAAAAAACCTTTTTTTAAGTATTACTATACTGGTTTTTTATACATAATTTGTATTCGCTAAAATACCTACTTGTAACAATATAGTACAATATCATGCAAGCCAATTCAAACGTTTAGAAACACAAATCCTAAAACAAGGCTTAAAACCACTTGTTTTCCACAAAAGATAATAAAACTATAAAAATTGTATATGTAAAATTGGTACACAGTTACATTGGATTAGGATAATTAACAAGTTTCAGTTGCTCCAACAGTAGTGTTCTCGGCAAAATTAACAAATATAATTGTACAGTCATGGTATTATTACCGTTAAAATTAATTTTTACAATGACCAACATATAAGAATATAACGATATAGAAGATTAAGATATGTTTATAAGGATAGTCAAATTAATTTGTTAGGTAGGCACTTAATTAATGGTGAACCACGGCCGAATATGATTTATGAGAATTTTAAAAATATATTGATAAATGTTGCCAGTAAATCGCGATTTAGCCCAGATATTATAAAACTACTAAAAAAACGTTTGGCCAGAACATATAATTAAGACTACATACTACCATCAAATACCGCAAGGAGATTTTATATCGGAAATGATCATATAATTATCAAGTCATACACATGTATTGATGTAAAATTACACACTTTTGCCACATTTTAAATTGCTAATAAAATTAAAGTCATTTTTCTTACAGATAAAAATAATGCTACACAAAATGTGAGTGATAGGTGTTTATTTTAAAAGAAATAATGATTTCAAGTGAGTCATAAAAGTCGTTAAGAGGTATTATATTTTAGAACATTTTTTTTTTAATAACATTTTAAGAGATTTTTAAAAGAAATTATATTATTATTATTTGGCATACGATAATTATATTAAAAATGATACTATAACATGAAATATTATTAACATATTAAGGTCAGGCCAATCCTGTTTTCTTAGTCTTTGTATTTTTTCCAAAGTGCTTGGTCTGCTGGTAACGTTACTAACGCTTCGTTATTCCTCTGTTTAACGAATTCTTCTAGGGGTATGTTTTTATTGATGCTATGGTTCTTAAAAAGTAGGTTAAATTCGTCTAAGCCTATCCAATCTAAAACAAAACAATATTACTTTGAATTTAAATAAAAATAATATATAATATTATAGTTATGGGGGCATGATGTACAGTTAACGTTTACCTTTTTTTCCAACTTGCAGACTCTCAAAGTTCTTTAAGTACTCATCGACTATAACATAATCTTTTTCCTTGCCACCCATGTACTTGCAAAATTGGTATCTTGTTACACGATCAACTAAGTAATCTTTGTATCTGCTTGCCAACTGTCTACATAACATGAACCCGTATTCTATGGCCTGTAAATTGTTTGTTTTTATATAGACTACAATATTTATTACTTTTGGCTTAGCAGATACCAAAATGAATTACTACATCAATGTGAGTGAAGTAAGAAAATATTAAAAGTCTTTTGGGCTAAAAAAGTTTCAAGAGAAACATTCGTTATAATGAATGAATTTAACTCAACGGTTATGTACGTTTCTAATTTTATTCTTATATGACACAATACCGAAATAACATTTTCAACAAACCGTATATTAATTATTTGGATTATAAATATTTAGGACAAGAATTTTAGTTTTAAGCTAAAATAATTATGGTTTTTTAGATAAGAATGGCTATTTATGAAATCTTAAACCTTTATACGACATAAATAATTCAGTATACGGTATTAACCAAAAACTAATAGTATTAAAATAATAATTATATGACTTACCGCATCATTAGGATCAGCTGAACTTGATCCTACAGTAACAGATGAACCGTGAGATTCAGGTGCAGCTGAAATTGATCCTTCAGGTAGATTCGGATGCATACAGCTAGCCGCTAGTATAAAATATAATACCGAAAAAGAAATCTTTAAAACCATTGCTGTGTTATACAATAAACTATAAACGGGAATAAAATTGCAAGACAAAACGAATGAGGTTAACCGTCTTAAATGAACAGAATTCTTTATCCAGAGGCTCAAATTTGGGTTTCCATTTGTTAACAATACTCTGCTAGTAATACTTGTTATTGTGCTGTAGAAAACATAATGTTGTATGCTTGTTTAAACAGTTGGCTGTTAGTCGTACAGCAACGTACAAAATAAAACATATATCCAAAAACAAAAACAACATCTTAAAAATCGACCTAGTTAAATTAGTTGAGGTCTACAAAGTAAAAAAACGGTTTTGATTATTATTTCATTTTAGGACTATTTTTTTTTTTACTTCAGCAATTATGATTCTAGAACAATTGTCAGTATACCGGATTTAGTTATATAATTGTATAAAAATTAATTATATTTTAACACTTATACAATTCATTCCATCTCTTAAGGGATATATATAAAAACATTATATTATAGTCTAAGCCCTAAGGTTAAGTATATAATGTGCTGTTATACCTACATGTTGTAATTATTTTTCAATCGATAAAGTTAAAATATTATTCAGCCACATAAAATGTGCAAATTTCAGTCATCTAGGTTGGTTGAATGCTACAATTTAATCAGTACATCTAGACAACTGAACAAACAAGATATATGTATGTGAAAAAAACCTTTTTTTTAAGTATTACTATACTGGTTTTTTATACATAATTTGTATTCGCTAAAATACCTACTTGTAACAATATGGTACAATATCGTGAAAACCAATTCAAACGTTTAGAAACACAAATCCTAAAACAAGGCTTAAAACCACTTGTTTTCCACAAAAGATAATAAAACTATAAAAATTGTACATGTAAAATTGGTACACAGTTACATTGGATTAGCATAATTAACAAGTTTCAGTTGCTCCAAGAGTGGTGTTAAAATTCATTTTTACAATGACCAACATATAAGGATATAAGGATATAGAAGATTAAGATATGTTTATAAGGATAGTCAAATTAATTTGTTAGGTAGGCACTTAATTAATGGTGAACCGAGGAATATGATTTATGAGAAATCTTAAAATATATTGATAAATGTTGCCAGTAAATCGCGATTAAGGCCAGATATTATAAAACTACTAAAAAAACGTGTGGCCAGAACATATAATTAAGACTACATACTATCATCATGTATCGCAAGGAGATTATAGATTGGAAATGATCATATAATTATCAAGTCATACACATGCATTGATGAATCTTCATGAAGTGTAAAATATACTCTTAACTTTTTTTTATCTAAATAATGCCCAACCCTGTCTGTAACAACATTATAACATACTATTAATATGTATATTACAAATATTGGACACCCATATAAAATATGTAGGTAAGTATACATTATGTTGCTTTGGTTGGCACACAAAACGTGTTCCTAAAACGTTTCTTCTATAGTTACACATTCTTGTTTGGCTGAAACAAAAGTTCACGCTTTTCCAATTGTCCGTTGCTCCGTTGGTCTATACAGTAGACACTACACACTTACACCGGTGCACTACATAATAGTATAATATAAATATATTATATTATCGTATATATTGTATATTACTATTATTATTGTTATTATAAATATTTCATATATAGGCAGAGAGACGTCAAGCGACCGTTTAACGACGGTAGTAACGTACCGGAGTGCACGAATTCAATGTCCATTCACATTAACAATAATAATAATAATACAAATAACAATATAAAATATTAAATATAATACCACCGGCTTTTAGAGAGGTGTACATGCAGTATAATATAATATATATATATATATATATATATTTTAAATATACAACGTATAATATACGTCTTTATTATTTCCAAAGATAATAATATTATTGTTACAACGTACACGGGTGTCTATCAAATTACTACAAGTATACTTACAGCTACACCTATATAATATATGTATATATATGCCTACTATAATAGTAGCAACCGACAGCGGAAATTAGTAGTGATAGCCAGACATGAGTCCAGACACACGAATCCACGGTCCATTCAAGTTGTCATAATACCATAAAAAAATTGTATTGTGCAACGCACGCTCTAGTTGTGTCTTATATTCGTAGACATGTATATATATATATATTTTATTTTTTTTTGTGCACCCAAAGCTCTTTTTTATAAGATAGACCTACGTCTCGCACTTGCCCGGTTAGGAAATATATGTATAAAGGTATATGATAATATGTACCTATCCCCGTTTACACTTAGCTATATGTAATATGTATCTCGTAGAAAGCTGTACCGCGGTTATTGTCGTGTTGTTTCTTATTATATACAAATAGTTTACAATATTACACGAATTAAGCACACATGTATAATAACATACATATACACATATTATGTTGGAACGCGACGGGCTGACACGTCTGGAACTGACTTGGAAACCAAAGAAAAAGAAAGGAAAAACTTACCATTCGTGTATTCGATATAATAGTAATAGTGTAATTTTTTTTTTTTTACCTTCTTTCAATCTCCTTGGTCACGATAAAACGTCCATCGAGAGTAAACTGTGCACAGCCACAACTTTATATTATATTATTACACCTGTTGTCGGCTATGGCTTGTTGCAACACAACAAATTATTATTACCCGCAAACCCAATGTGTTCTGATGGTTTTCTCGACAGCTTGAGCAAAGCTACTAGTTATTTACAAAAAAAAAAAAAAAAAAAAATATATATATATATAGTTTGAAATTATTAAAAACAAGTTTCTCTCGAAATCTCACAAAGCTCTGTACAATTTCTTCGTGTAATATTGGATCCAGCAGCTGATACAATAGAGGTGTAGGAAGATAGGGTCTAAACGTTGACTTGACGTTTAATAATTTACCTAACCTAACCGAAAAACATGACAAACACACAAAATCAATGTTGGTTTTATTTATTTTTTGTACCCTCTAAAAACATGCTACCGGGTATACTATAGGTATTCGATGCGGTTTTGGATTTAAAACAAATTTGCAACACTCGCCGGCTTCCTGCGGTATACATCCCCCGAAAAAAAATAAAAATACTTGGTCACCACCGTCAAATATCCACCCGGGATATCCGCCTAATGAACCTCAAAACTGACCGCACATCATATAATAGGTGGTTTTTTTATGCCGTGCTGAATTAAAGGCGAATATCGTTGTATTTTTTACACAAACGTTTTCTAAAACATTTTCTTTGTCAAACGATTCGCCATCGATACCTCTAAGTATGTTTTTAATACAATATAAAGCAACATACAGTAAAGCCAGGTAGTCTCCGTGTTGATTTGTATCAACAAGGTCTACAACGTAAACACATAAACAGAGTTGTGCAAATTCTTATTCGAATAACTTTTCCACAAATTATTTAAATAAAAAATCATTTGAATAATTATGTTTGATATTATTTGATTACAAAATTATTTGAATAATTTTTTTTTTATTTATTCAAATACAAAATTTTTTGAATAATTGTTTTTGAAATTATTCGAATAACTTTAGTTTGACGCATGCTAATGATCCAGAAGCTATTACAATGAGGAGGAGGGGAAGATAGGGTCAAAATGTTGATTTGATCTTTGATAATAATTTTGAGTACATATATGTAGTGTTGTGCAAATTTTTATTCGAATAAAACGTTATTCTAATAATTATGTTTGGAATTATTCGAATAATTAATTTTAAAATGATCGATTATTGATATTAAGCACGATTTGAATAACTATTTATAAAATTATTCTTATAAAAAAATATTTGAATGACTTACACTTGAATAATGTGTTACCTAGATGATTTTTTAGACAACGTTTTATTCGAGTTATGCACAAATTTGCACATAAGCAACAATTGTTTAAAAGTTGATTTAGTTACATTTTATAACAGCTGAATAATTTAATAATTTAAAATTTTAACAAACACTATCTAGGAATGAACGTCTAAATGTACTTATAAAAAGCCAAACGGTTCAAATTTAATTTATTTAATTACAATAAACTGAATTTTTCAAATGAAAATTGGTTTCTTACATAACCTAGTAAATAAGTCAAAGAACTAGAATTTGTTTTTGAAATCAATCTTGATTTGATCTTTGCTAATAATTGTGAGTACACGTAAGCAGTGTTTTGCAATTTTTTTATTCGAATAAAACGTTATTCGAATAATTTTTTTCCTATTTATTCGAATAATAATTATGTTTGGAATTATTCGAATAATTAATTTTAAAATGATCGGTTATATATTTTTTTTAAATGATTTGAATGATTTTGTTTTTTGTATAACTTATACTCGAATAATGTATATTATCTAGATGATGATTTGGATATAACGTTTTATTCCTAAGAAGATGCACAATTCTGCACACACAACGAGTAATTCTTAACCGAATCTTTTTGAGTTTTGGCGGTTTTTCCGTTGCTGTTGAAAACAACATTTCCACCGAATAATATGTTATAATGAACTATTGATTGTGAAGGGATGCGACCGCCGTAAGCGATTTATCAATTGGCCAGATTGCAAGAACTCAGACAACGCGGTGCCATGGGTTTGTTACCATACAGATGTATCAGGTGTGGTACTTATACGGTGTGAATCGACGGTGTAAACTAGTTTTCCAGAAGAGGGTCGTCGAGGCCGATCTTGACTTTATTCACAACAACAACAATATCGTCCGACCACTTTAATAAACAGCCGAAGAATCGTCGGTAAATGAAGACAAATGGATTTACAAAGCGCATGAAAAGGAAACCGAAATGAGTATTCCATCCATCGGTATAAACTAGTTTACAAGAGTTTGTTCAAAGGGGTTTTTTTTTAGTAGCTTCATAAAGAAGTAATTATATTCAAGAACCACAAAAGTCTACCGGGACTGGTTTTTAAATTTTTTTAACAGGCGATGATATAATTTTTTATACCCTCGCGGGCGACCAATAACAATACCGTTGACACCGATAATAATATGGACCAAGCAGGATATACAGAGCATACACATGAAAACTAATATGTATGTACAAATATTATAATATCATCTATACGCAGGAAGTGCGTTACACATATACATATTATTAAAATTTATAATATTTTGAATGCTATCGACTTATGCAG